AATTTGTAATATAATTTATTCATTTCATTCTTCCATTTCCATTCTTCCTTTCTTACCAGTTCAAGGTGGTCATTGGGACGATGACCACCTATGATATATAACAGAGAATTTTAGCAACAACTGCTGGGATACTTCGCCAAAAATTCATTGATGAACACTTAAACCATTCGTTCTGTGGAAAGGAAAAGAAGGGAGGTTATACAACACTACAGTATTACAAAAATTCTTCTCCCATATTACTTAAATTATTATTATTGTCTTTGGAAAGAGAAAAGAAGGGAGTTATACAATTTTTACTCCCTTTTCACTACTATAATTCAAATTGTATTGTATATAATTATAAGCATGCACATTACCTGTTCAAAAGAATATCTTTCTAGTGATTTTTCCCCTTCTTCATTAAAAAGACCACCCACTAAATACAAAAAGTTATTCAAAACTGCAACACCCATGTAGTTGTAGCGAGGTGGAGCACTCAGTGCTGCTAGATCTCTCCACTCCCCAGTTACAGGATTGTATGAGAGAAGTTCATGAAAGGTGGTTATAAGAGTCCATACGTCCACTAACAATGTAAATAAGACCTTGATTTTCTACTATACCCATTCTGTAAAAAAAAAAAAAAAAGTATAGGCACTTATATTTTCTCATTATTATCAGTAGTTCACACTATCAGTCAGTAAATCCAATTTGAAAATTGTTATTGTACTTACTTGGATCTACCTTCTGGCATATTTGACTCTAATAATGTCCACTCATCTGCAATAGGGTCATATCTTTCAATACTTTTTTCGATGACCAATCCCGTCCAACCACCGAAGGCATAGAGAAAACCTCCATGAGCGCATAATCCAAAATCAGACCGTGGGATCACCATAGAAGATATTCCAGTCCAATAATCTTCCTGTGGATCATAAACTTCGCCATCTGCCCAAATCTGACTGTCCTCTCCACTCCCTCCAACAACGAAAATTTTCCCATGTAAGACTGCTATTCCTGGTGAACTTCTCACAATTTTCATAGGGCAAACTTTCTGCCATTTCTGCCTAAAGATATCAAAACATTCGACACTTTTAAATGTAAACCCATCTGATATATAGAGTTCTTTCATGAATCCACCTATGAGATAAATTTTCTTTCGAGTACAAATTCTTGGCTGGACAGAAAAGGCTGCTTCCTTTTTAGCCAAGTTTGTCTGCTTTTTAAGGTTAACCTTCAATTTAATATCAGCGGAGCACTCATTAATTGCTTTTTTTATTAGTTTACTTGAAATTAAAGGCAATTTCAGTCGTTTTAAAATGTCAAAATTCCAACAACAATATCTATTATTTATATCTTGTGCTTGTGTAATCCATCTGATAGCAGCAGAGAATACCTGCAATAAATAATAGAAAGATAAATTCGGGTTAATAATCTTGTAAATAAAAGTCAATTGAAAGTTGTACATTAAATAAAAAAAAAAAATTTACATTTTACCTGAAACTCAGAGTCAATATGAAGATACTCTGAATCCAAAAAATACAGCAGAATTCTTTCGGAATCTCAAGAAATTCTTGCTCCATTGTTACTTCTACGAAATTGGAGAAGATGAAGTCCCGGGAAGAATGCAGCAACCTTACTAAATTATGGGCCTCAGCAAACCTGTTTTTAAAAAAAAAAAAAAAAATTACGTATAGGACAGATAAAAATACATATTATATAAACAGTTGGAAAATAATTAACTATTATTATTATACTGCACGTACCGGTAAATTCCCAAAGCATTAGATGGATGAAGTTCGCTCTTGAGAAAGTCTATACAAACAAGTACAGCACGTGATATCATCAACATGTTCGCAGCCGCAATTAACTCCTGTGCATTTTCCACTGTTATCTCGATGTTTCCTAAAGTTTTTGACAAAAAAAGAAAAAAAAAATTCATTTATTCATTTGCAACAAAATAAAAATTTTACATATAGATAGCAGCATAGCACTATGAAAACTTAAAATATTTTCCCTTACCAGTATATATGAAGTCGACGAGCAGTCGTAATATATTGGGTTTCATGAACTTCATTTCTATTGACTGTGTTGTTTTCTCAGCAAATTCACACGTAAACATGGTCTTAAAATATTTGCTTCCAGCTGACAGTATTACACGGTGAGCCTGTGGAATAAAATGTAATCCCATCAGATTACATAAAAGTGAGAGAATTATGGACGGACAGACAACAAAATTAAACCACTGCTAGGAAGCAAGCCGCCCAAATCAAACCACTGCTAGGAAGCAAGCCGCCCAAATCAAATCACTGCTTGGAAACATTGATTCTCTCGTGAGAAGAAAGTTGGATAAGTAACTCTTTATTTGTGTCGGAGAAGAAGGGAAGTTGGGGGAACAGGGAAATTTCTTCTACTGTACTGGATATACTTTGTTAACCATGTTCCACTGACTTCTCCTAAACGGATGGTGAGTGTGGGCAGTGTAGTTAAGTTTCCCTCCCCCTATATGTGTGTAAATGGTGAGTGAGTGATGGAGGGCGGGCAGAGAAAGATATATAGGTAGGAGGTAAATGTTTCTTCACTTACAGATAAATGTTTCACTTACTCACCTTCACAACTGATCCATCAGCTAATAATATTTCTACATCACATAATTCTTGTGACTGCCAGAGGAAATGTATGTAGTCTAGCAGGTAGTTCGGATAAGATTTACATTCCTCTTCCTCCTCCTTCTCCTGCTCCTCTTTCTCCTTGTGATGAGAGAGCTCCACATGTGCAGCCGCCATCTTCAGATACTAATGTAATACTAACCAGTTGTCAGTTTTGTTTTTAGTTGTGTGGTGATATCTGGTAATACCCGTGGTGGTGGTGGTGGTGGTGGTGGTGCTTCCGTTGCTTCTTCAAACAATAACAAAACTAAACTACAGCCAGCAGCCTCTTTCTTTCAGTATGTTGGGGTAATTTAATATGTAATATTTGTGTGTTAAGTTAGTTGAGTGTCCATTAAAACTGGGGCCCATTAAGACTAAGGGCCCATTAAGATTAGAGGCCCCATTAACCCTGGGGCCCATTAAAGAAGACCTGGATAAAAAAAAGCAAAAAAATATACACTTTTTTACTCATCATACCGTTCCTCAGGGGTGTACAGTTTCTTCATTTGTTATCCTTAGGATCAAAATACTCCCTCTACATGACAATTTTTTACTTCTTTTTCACTATAGTTAAGCATAAGTCACATGACAAGGAAGCAAAGTTTTGCTGTAACGTATGTGATAAGCAACCTTAGCTATTACCAGTTGTGTCACAGCAGCTCAAAGAAAACTTTTGAATTAATGTTTTGGATACCTTTTTTTTAAGCTACACACTTATCCTAACTAATCTTGGCCGGTTAGACAGCTTTGGTCAGTTCTTTATTACTTTAAAATTTCATATTAGGTAAGTTAAAAAGATAGAAAGCAAGCTTTTGGATTTATTATGTCAGTTTAAATGGATTAAATTGTATGAAGAATAATGTACAGTCTTGAAGAGAAAGTTTGTATACGTACTCTATCATAGCCCCTCTGCTCCAAATACGTTGTCTACTTCACAATTAACGTAAATTCCGGTCAAGATGAAGTCCCGTTGGAAGAATGTCAGTAACTTTAGATACTAAAGTGGTTATGAGGCCTCAGCAATACCTGTTCAATGTCACCCAGCACAAAAAAGAAAAACAACTGGGATTTTAGTTCAAATTCTGTCATATGTATACGTACATATTTACAAATAACACTTAAACATCACAAACAAGAATAATAAATACTTAATTTATTATACTGTACGTACCTGTAACCTATTCTGTAAAACAGTACAGTCAATTTTGCATTCAGACTATCACTAAATGATGCATCATTACTGACCAGTTCTATCTCAGGGACAGTCCTAGGTGTAATCAGTTCATCTCCACCATTTGTTCATCTTCCTCAGACTGTTTCTAGATGTAAAACTCTAAATTATTATTTTCAAGTCATCTTATTATCAAAACATACTTTTATGGAATTATTAATAATATTTCGAGTATTCTTGATTTCTACATTAAGCAATTTCACTTGTTTCAAAATGTCAAAAAAAGAGTAGATAAATTTGATTGATTTTAGTCTACTACGCAGCCGCAATTAACTCCTGTGCGTTTTCCACTGTTATCTCGATGTTTCCTAAAGTATCACTTACTCACCTTACTCACCTTCCAATGATATTTCTACTCTACATATTTCTACTTCACTAACTTTTCTGACTGCCGAGGAAAGTATAGTTCAGGTAGATTTATCCTCCTCCTCCTTCCTCCTCCTCGTGATGAGAAAGCTCCACCACACATGCAGCTTCAGATACTAATTATAAGGATACTTTCAAATTTCATGTTAGGTAAGTTAAATTAAAAGATAGAAAGCAAACCTTTTTTATTTTAAATGGATTAAATATGAAGATAATATCAGTCTTGAGGAAGGTTTAGGGAGTCAAATTAAGACTGCTCTAGAATAAGACCGGCCCTCAGGGAGTGATGTACAGTTCATCCACTTATTATTCTTAGGGTCGAAATATTCCACATTAGCGACAGATACCTAAAAAAAAAGTTAGAGGTTAAAATTGTAATAGTTAAGGTTAAAATTGTAATATAATTAATTCCATATAATTAATTCATTTCATTCTTCCATTGCCATTCTCCCTTTCTTACCAATCTATTAAGGTTATTTTGACGGTGACCTCCTATGACATATAACAGAGAATTTGTGGCAACAACTGCTGGGATACTTCGATCAAAATTCATTGATGAACACTTAAACCATTTGTTCTGTGGAAGGAAAAGAAGGGAGGGGAGGTTATACAATTTTTACTCCCTCTTTTCATTACACTACATACAGTATTACAAAAATTCTTCTTCAATATACTTAAATCATTATTGTTGTCTTGGGAAAGAGAAAAGAAGGGAGTTATACAATTTTTACTCCCTTTTCACTACTGTAATTCAAATTGTATTGCATGCATATTACCTGTTCAAAAGAATATCTTTCTAGTGATTTTTCCGCTTCTTCATTAAAAAGAAGGCCACCCACTAAATACAAAAAGTTATTCAAAACTGCAACACCCATGTAGTTGTAGCGAGGTGGAGCACGTCCTGCTAGTGCTCTCCACTCCCCAGTTACAGGATTGTATGAGAGAAGATCATGCATGGGGTTGTAAAAGTCCATATATCCACTAACAATGTAAATAAGACCTTGATGTTCTACTATACCCATGCTGTAAAAAGAAAAAAAGTACAGGCACTGTTATATTTTCTCATTATTATCAGTGTTCATACTATTAGTCAGTAAATCCAATTTGAAAATTGTTATTGTACTTACTTGGATCTACCTTCTGGCATATTTGACTCTAATAATCTCCACTCATCTGTAATAGGGTCATATCTTTCAATACTTTTTTCCATAACCGATCCCATCCAACCACCGAAGGCATAGAGATAACCTCCATGAGCGCATAATCCAAAATTACACCGTGGGATCACCATAGAAGATATTCCAGTCCAATAATCTTCCTGTGGATTATAAACTTCGCCATCCGTCAAAATCTGACTCTCCTTTCCAATCCCTCCAACAACGAAAATTTTTCTATGTAAGACTGCTATTCCTGGTGAATTTCTCACAATTTTCATGGGGCAAACTTTCTGCCATATCTGCCTAAAGATATCAAAACATTCGACACTTTTTTTAAATTTATTTTGGTAATAGTTTTCTTTCTTTGATCCACCTATGACATAAATTTTCTTTCGAGTACAAATTCTTGGCTGGACATATAAGGCTGCCCTTTTGGCCGCCAAGTTTGTCTGCTGTTTAAGGTTAACCTTAAATCTAATATCAGAGGAGCATTCATTAATTAATTTTTCTATTAGTTTACTTGAAATTAAAGATAATTTCATTCGTTTTAAAATGTCAAAATACCAACAACCATATCTATTAGTTCTTCGTGTAATCCATCTAATAGCAGCAGAGAATACCTGCAATAAATAATAGAGAAAGTTAATTTTGATAGTTGGGGATTAAAACTTTATTATATAAAGTCAGTTGAAAGTTTGTAATATTAAATAAAAAAAATTATTTTACCTGAAACTCAGAGTCAATATGAAGATACTCTGACTCAAGAAAATACAGTAGAATTTCTTTCGGAATCTCAAGAAATTCTTCCTCCATTGTCACTTCTACGAAATTGGAAAAGATGAAATCCCGCGAAGAATGCAGCAACCTTACTAAATAATGGGCCTTAGCAAACCTGTTAAAAAAAAAAACAATATGGAATTAGTTACGTCGTATTATATAAATAGTTTGAAAATAATTAATTATTATACTGCACATACCGGTAAATTCCCATAGCATTAGATGAATGAAGTTCACTCTTAAGAAAGTCTGTACAAAACCGTACAGCACGGGACATCATCAGCATGTTCGCAGCCGCAATTAACTCCTGTGCATTTTCCACTGTTATCTTCATTTTTCCTAAAGTATTAAAAAAAGTTTTTTATTCATAATGTATTTCGTTTTAATTTAAATATAAGTATAGCAGCATTATGAAAACTTAAAATGTTTCCCCTTACCAGTATATATGAAGTGGACGAGCAGTTGTAATATATTGGGTTTCATAGACTTCATTTCTATTGACTGTGTTGTTTTCTCAGCAAATCCACACGTAAACATTGTCTTAAAATAATCGCTTCCTCCTGACAGTATTCCACGGTGAGCCTGTGAAATAAAATGTAATCCATCAGTTTTTGTTTTTTAAGATTTGGGTGATGGAGGGCAGAGAAAGATATGTAGGTTGGAGGTAAATGTTTCTTTACTCATAGGATATATCACTCACTCACCTTCATAATTGATCCATCAGCTAATAATATTTCTACATCACATAACTGTTGTAACTGCCAGAGGAAATGTATGCAGTCTTGCAGGTAGTTAGGATAAGATTTACACTCCTCCTCCTCCTCCTCCTCGTAATGAGAGATCTCCACACGTGCAGCCGCCATCTTCAGATACTAATGTAATACTAACCAGTTGTCAGTTTTGTTTTTAGTGGTGGTGTGGTGATATCTGGTAATACCCGTGGTGATGGTGGTGGTGGTGGTGGTAGTGGTGGTGGTTGTGGTGGTGATTCTTCTGTTGCTTCTTCAAACAGTAACAACTATAAACTACAGCCAGCAACAGAAGTATTTTATTTTTTTATTTTAAGTGTGTGTGTTGAAGAGAGATGAGAGGAGGATGAAGAGACTTTAAAGTTTCTCGTGGGATATTCTTGATCTTGAGCTTGGGAGAGAAGAGATATCAAGTTTCCGGTTCATTTTATGTTAATAATATCAAATGCCGGCTGGGCTGTGACTAGAAGGAGGGGAGAGTGAGGGGGTGTAAGGGAGAGTGAGGAAGTGTAAGGGCACATCAGATTTTTTTTTATTTGTCTCTGGGATGGTTGTGGCAGTCTTCCCATAAGTGAGGCAGCTGATGTGATTGTATGCAAAAAATATATTTCTCGCTCACCTTCACAACTGATCCATCAGCTGATAATATTTCTACATCAGTAGGTAGTTCAGATAAGATTGTCAAATTGAAACTGCTCTAGCATCAGACCGACCCTCAGGGAGTGATGTACAGTTTATCCACCTATTATTCTTAGGGTCGAAATACTCCACATTAGCGACAGATATCTAAAAAGAAAAAAAAATAGTTTGAGGTTAAAACTTTGGATTATAAAGATTATTAATAAATATTATCATTTTTCATTAAGCATTCTTTTCATTCTTCCTTACCAGGCTATTATAATTTCTACTGTAGTCACCGCCTATGACATATAACAGAGAATTTGTAGCAACAACTGCTGGGCTATGACCGAAATACATTGATGAACACTTAAACCATTTGTTCTGTGAGAAAGTAAAAGAAAAAAGGTAAAAGGAAGGGAGGGAGGTCATAAAATTTTTATCCCTTTTCACTAAGTATTATAAATTGAAAATTCAAACTTTATCGTATATAATCTCATAATCTTACCTGTTCAAAAGAATATCTTTCCATTGATTTTTTCCCATTATTATCACCTACTACGTACAAAAAGTTATCTAAAACTGCAACGCCTATCGTCTTAGATGGTGGACCTAGCATTGGTGCTAGATTCTTCCACTCCCCAGTCACAGGATTGTATGAGAGAAGATCATGCAGGGGATTGTAAGTGTACGTATATCCACCAATAATGTAAATAAGACCTCGATGTTCTACTATTCCCATCCTGTAAAAGAAAAGAAAAGGAGAAAAAGAAAAAAAAACAGTACAGGCTACTGCTACATTTTCTCATTATCAGTTACTATCAGTCAGTAAATCTAATTTGAAAATGGTTGATTTTTAACATTACAATTGTACTTACTTTTTTCTAGCTTCTGGCATATTTGATTCTAATAATCTCCACTCATCTGTAATAGGGTCATATCTTTCAATACTTTTTTCGACGACCGATCCCGTCCAACCACCGAAGGCATAAAGGTAATCTCCATGAGCGCATAATCCAAAATCACATCGTGGGGTAACCATAGAAGATATCCCAGTCCAATTATCTTCCTGTGGATTATAAACTTCGCCAACCGCCAAAATCGGAGAGGGTATCTCCTCTCCAACCCCTCCAACAACGAAAATTTGTCCACGTAAGACTGCTATTTCTGGCCAAATTCTTATATTTTTCATGGGGCAAACTTTCTGCCATTCCTTCCTAAAGGTATCAAAACATTCGAGACTTTTAAACATATATTCCTCTGATCTATTCCATAATCTAATGAGTTCGTTCTTTGATCCACCTATGACATAAATTTTCTTTCTAGTACAAATTCTTGGCTGGACATAAAAGGAGGCTTCCTTTTTAGCCAAGTTTATCTGCTGTTTAAGGTTAACTTTCAATCTGATGTCAGAGCACTCATCAATTGATTTTTCTATTAGTTTACTTGAAATTAAAGATAATTTCACTCGTTTTAAAATGTCAAGAATCCAACAAAGTCTATCAGTTATTTCCTGTGTAATCCAACTGATGGCAGCAGAGAATACCTGCAATATAACAAAAGAAAAAGAAAGTGAGCTGCAATACCCCCCCTCAAAAAAAAAAAAGATTTTTGAAATTGATAAATAAATATTAAATAAAAAGAAAAATATCTAATATTTACCTGAAACTCAGAGTCAATATGAAGATACTCTGAATCCAAAAAATACAGCAGAATTCTTTCGGAATCTCAAGAAATTCTTGCTCCATTGTCACTTCTACGAAATTGGAGAAAATGAAGTCCCGGGAAGAATGCAGCAACCTTACTAAATTATGGGCCTCAGCAAACCTGTTTAAAAAAAAAAAAAAAAAAAATACGTATAGGACAGATAAAAATACATATTATATAAACAGTTGGAAAATAATTAATTAATTATTATTATACTGCACGTACCGGTAAATTCCCAAAGCATTAGATGGATAAAGTTCGCTCTTGAGAAAGTCTATACAAACAAGTACAGCACGTGATATCATCAACATGTTCGCAGCCGCAATTAACTCCTGTGCATTTTCCACTGTTATCTTGATGTTTCCTAAAGGTTTTGACAAAAAAAGAAAAAAAAAATTCATTTATTAATTTTCAACAAAATAAAAATTTTACATATAGATAGCAGCATAGCACTATGAAAACTTAAAATATTTTCCCTTACCAGTATATATGAAGTCGACGAGCAGTTGTAATATATTGGGTTTCATAAACTTCATTTCTATTGACTGTTTTGTTTTCTCAGCAAATTCACACGTAAACATTGTCTTAAAATATTCGCTTCCCGCTGACAGTATTACACGGTGAGCCTGTGGAATAAAATGTAATCCTATATAAAAGTGAGAGAATTATAGACGGACAGACAACAAAATTAAACCACTGCTAGGAAGCAAGCCGCCCAAATCAAACCACTGCTAGGAAGCAAGCCGCCCAAATCAAATCACTGCTTGGAAACATTGATTCTCTCGTGCGAAAAAAGTTGGATAAGCAACTCTTTATTTGTGTCGGAGAAGAAGGGAAGTTGGGGGAACAGTTTATTTGTGTCGGAGAAGAAGGGAAGTTGGGGGAACAGGGAAATTTCTTCTACTGTACTGGATATACTTTGTTAAACCATGTTCCACTGACTTCTCCTAAACGGACGGTGAATGTGGGCAGTGTAGTTAAGTTTCCCTCCCCCTATATGTGTGTAAATGGTGGGTGGGTGATGGAGGGCAGGCAGAGAAAGATATGTAGGTAGGAGTAAATGTTTCTTCACTTACAGATAAATGTTTCACTTACTCACCTTCACAACTGATCCATCAGCTAATAATATTTCTACATCACATAACTCTTGTGACTGCCAGAGAAAATGTATGTAGTCTAGCAGGTAGTTCGGATAAGATTTACATTCCTCTTCCTCCTCCTTCTCGTTATGAGAGAGCTCCACAAGTGCAGCCGCCATCTTCAGATACTAATGTAATACTAACTAGTTGTCAGTTTTATTTTTAGTGGTGTGGTGATATCTGGTAATACCCGTAATGGTGGTGGTGGTGGTGGTGGTGGTGGTGGTGGTGCTTCCGTTGCTTCTTCAAACAGTAACAAAACTAAACTACAGCCAGCAGCCTCTTTCTTTCAGTATGTTGGGATAGGTAATACATTTTTTTTTTTTTTTAAGTGTGTGTGTATGTATGCTAAAGAGGATGAGAGGAGGATAAAGAGGGCTTGAAAGTTTCTTGTTGAATATTCTTGAGCTTGAGCTTGGGAGAGAAGAGATATCAGTTCCCGGTACATATTATGTTAATAATATCAAATGCCAGGCTGTAACTAGAGGAGAGATATACTCAAGATTTCATGGACTTAAAATGTAATATTTGTGTGTTAGGTTAGTTGAGTGCTCACTAAACTTGGCCGGTTAGCAAATGTGAAATTAAACAATTATAAGGATACTTTCAAATTTCATGTTAGGTAAGTTAAAAAGATAGAAAATTTTTCTAATTTTTATTTTATTTTAAATGGCTTTGCAACTGATCCATCAGCTGATAATATTTCTACATCAGCAGGTAGTTCAGATAAGATTGTCAAATTGCAACTGCTCTAGCATCCATCCGACCCTCAGGAAGTGATGTACAGTGTATCCACCTATTATTCTTAGGGTCGAAATACTCCACATTCACATCAGTGTCAAGTAGCTAAAAAAAAAGAAAAAAAAATAGTTTAGGTTAAAACTTTGGATTATAAAGATTATTAATAAATATTATCAGTTTTCATTAATCATTCTTTTCAGTCTTCCTTACCTGTCCATCATCATTTCTAATGTCACCGCCTATGAAATATAACAGAGAATTTGTAGCAACAATTGCTGGGGAATTTAGACCGGAATACATTGATGAACACTTAAACCATTTGTTCTGTGGGAAAGTAAAAGAAAAAAAGGTAAAAGGAAGGGAGGGAGGTTATACAATTATTTACCAACAGTATTACAAATATTCTTATCCTGGCTGGCTACAATATAATAATAATTCATAAGCACTCCACGGTAAATAATCTTACCTGTTCAAAAGAATATCTTTCCATTTCCTCAAACTCAGTACCACCTACTACGTACAGAAAGTTATTCAAAACTGCAACACTTATCGTGTCACATGGTTCACCTAGCATTGGTGCTAGATTCTTCCACTCCTCAGTCACAGGATTGTATGAGAGAAGATCACGCAGGGGGGCGTTGTGAGTGTCCGTATATCCACCCATAATGTAAATGAGACCTCGATGTTCTACTATACCCATTCTGTAAAAGAAAAGAAAAGGAGAAAAAGACAAAAAAAAAAGTACAGGCCACTGCTACATTTTCTCATTATCAGTTACTATCAGTCAGTAAACCTAATTTGAAAATGGTTGATTTTTAACATTACAATTGTACTTACTTGGATCTAGCTTCTGGCATATTTGACTCTAATAATCTCCACTCATCTGTAATAGGGTCATATCTTTCAATACTTTTTTCGACGACGACCGATCCCCTCCAACCACCGAAGGCATAAAGGTAACCTCCATGAGCGCATAATCCAAAATCACATCGTGGGGTAACCATAGAAGATATCCCAGTCCAATTATCTTCCTGTGGATTATAAACTTCGCCATCCGCCAAAATCGGAAAGGGTCTGGGTCCCCTCCCTCCAACAACGAAAATTTTCCCATGTAAGACTGCTATTTCTGGCCTTTCACTTTTTTTTTTCATCGGGCAAACTTTCTGCCATTCCTTCCTAAAGGTATCAAAACATTCTACACTTTTACACAACTTAAAATATTTAAACTTCTTGAATCTACTCCATTCGCTCCTTGCACCTATGACATAAATTTTCTTTCGAGTACAAATTCTTGGCTGGACATAAAAGGAGGCTTCCTCTTTAGCCAAATTTATCTGCTGTTTAAGGTTAACTTTCAATCTGATGTCAGAGCACTCATTAATTGATTTTTCTATTAGTTTACTTGAAATTAAAGATAATTTTACTCGTTTTAAAATGTCAAGAATCCAACAAAGTCTATCAGTTATTTCTTGTGTAATCCATCTGATGGCAGCAGAGAATACCTGCAATATAACAAAAGAAAAAGAAAGTGAGCTAGCTGCAATAAACCACAAAAAAATTAGATTTTTTATTTAATAAATAAATATTAAATAAAAAGAAAAATATCTAATAATTACCTGAAACTCAGAGTCAATATGAAGATACTCCGAATCCAAAAAATATAGTAGAGTTCCTTTAGGAATCTCAAGAAACTCTTGCTCCATTGTCACTTCTACGAAATTGGAGAAGATGAAGTCCCGCGAACAATTCAACAAGCTTACTAAATAATAGGCCTCAGCAAACCTGTAAAAAAAAAAAAATAAACACACCCTCTTTAGAATCGAATCAGATCGAATCAGAATTAATCAAATTAAAACAGAACCGAACAAGAATAAAAAAATTACAAAATAAAAATTAGTCACGTTACCTGTAAATTCCTAAAGCATTGGATGGATGAAGTTCACTCCTGAGAAAGTCTGTGCAAATACGTACAACGTGGGGAACTACCAGCATGTTTGCAACAACTATTAACTCTTGAACGTTTTCAGCTGTTACCTCGATGTTTCCTAAAGATTAAGATATAAGTAACAAAATAAAAATACCGTTTTTTTTTTATAAATATGAAAACTGAAATGTTACTTACCAGTATATATGAATCCGATGATCTGCTCTAATATATTAAATTTCATAGATTTAATTTCTATTGAAGAATATGTTGTTTTCTCAGTTAATCCACAGGTAAACATGGCCTTAAAATAATTACTTCCCGCCGAGAGTATTACACGGTGAGCCTGGAATAATAATAAAAGAATTTGGTTGGTTGTACATATACAAGATATTTTTTTTCAATTATTGACAAAAAATAATAAAAAAGTTAAAATAATGTTTTCTCACCTTCACAACTGATCCATCAACTGATATTTCTACATCACAGAACTTTTGTAACTGCCAGAGCGAATTTAGGTTCTCTAGCAGGTTGTTTGGATAAGGATAATTACACTCCATCCTCTCCGTTATCAGAGAGCTCCACACGTGCCGCCGCCATCCTCATATATAACTATAATTTCTTGTGTAATCCATCTGATGGCAGCAGAGAATACCTGCAATATAACAAAAGAAAAGAAAAAGAAAGTGAGAGTTGCAATAAAAAAAAAAATAAAATAAAATTTTCAATAAATAAATATTAAATAAAAAGAAAAATATCTAATATTTACCTGAAACTCAGAGTCAATATGAAGATACTCCGAATCTAAAAAATATAGTAGAGTTTCTTTAGGAATCTCAAGAAACTCTCGTTCCATTGTCACTTCTATGAAATTGGAGAAGATGAAGTCCCGCGAATCATTCAACAATCTTACTAAATAATAGGCCTGAGCAAACCTGTAAAAAAAAAAAGGAACACATCCTCTCTAGAATCGGATTAGATCGAATCAGAATCAATCAAATTAAAACAGAACAGAACAAAATAAAAAAATTTACAAAATAAAAATTCGTTACCTGTAAATTCCCCAAACATTGGATGGATCAAGTTCGCTCTTGGGAAATTTTGTACAAACAAGTACAGCACGGGGCATGAACAGCATGTTCGCAGCCACAATTAACTCCTGTGCGTTTTCCACTGTTATCTCGATGTTTCCTAAAGTATTTTTACAAAAAAAGAAAAAAATTTCATTTATTCATTTGCAACAAAATAAAAATTTTACATATAGATAGCAGCATAACCTACTATGAAAACTTAAAATATTTTCCCTTACCAGTACCTGTGGAATAAAATGTAATCCCCATCAGATTTTTGTAAAAGTAGTGGGGGAAGGTACATAGATTGATTGAGGATATACTTTTAAGTGTGATTTTATGTAATTTCTTACTCACTCATCTTCACAACTGATCCATCAGCTAATAATATTTCTACATCACATAACTGTTGTGACTGCCAGAGGAAATGTATGTAGTCTAGCAGGTAGTTCGGATAAGATTTACATTCCTCCTCCTCCTCCTTCTCGTTATGAGAGAGCTCCACATGTGCCGCTGCCATTCTCAAATACTAATGTTAATACTAATCATCACCAGCGTTCTTTTATAAATAGTGGTAGTGTTGAATGTACAGCAGCTTGGGATGGATAAGTAAAAACTATACATTAATTTCAGTTTTTATTTTTATTTTAAGTGTGTGTTTGTTGAAAAGAATGAAGAAGAAGAAGAAGAGGACTCTTAAATTTCTCTGTTAGATATTCTTGAGCTTCTTGAGCTTGGGGAAGTATCAAGAAGAGAAGAGAAAGAAAGTTGAGTCAAATTACGACAGCTCTAGCATTAGACCGACCCTCTGGGAGTGATGCACAGTTCCTCCACTTATTCTTCTTTGGGTCGAAATACTCCACATTAGTGATAGGTACCTAAAAAAAAAAATAAAAGTTAAAACTTTGGATAACTTTTGATTTGTATATCACATATTTATTAATCATTCTGTTTTCGTTCGTTCTTCCTTACCCCTCTACAGCCGCCTATGACATATAACAGAGAACTTGTGGCAACAACTGTTGAGATACTTCGACCAAAATACTTCGATGAACACTTGAACCATTTGTTCTGTGGGAAAGTAAAAGAAAGAAGAAAAGTAAAAGGAAGGGAGAGTAGGGAAGTTATACAATTTTTTACTCCCTCCATTTTCACTACAGTATTACAAAAATTCTTCCACTTCCTAGCTACAATATTGTAATTCAAATCTTGTTGTATATAATAAGAATTCATAAGAACAGCGCTGGTAAATGTATATAAAAATAAGAATTTATAAGTTTTGCACTGGTAAATAATCTTACCTGTTCAAAAGAATATCTTTGCATTGATTTTTTTTCATAATTGTTCCGAATATATATAAAAAGTTATCCAAAACTGCAACACCTATCTTGTTATGTAGTGCTATCATTGGTGCTAGATTCTTCCAATACCCAGTCACAGGATTGTATGAGAGAAGATTACACAGGCGGATGAAATAATATCCCGCACCAACTCCACCAACAATGTAAATAAGACCTCGATGTTCTACTATACCCATACTGTAAAAAAAAAGAGGGAGAAGAAAAAAAGACAAGTACAGGTCAATACTACATTTTCTCTTCTCTTATTATTATCAGTAGTTTACACACACACTATCAGTCAGTAATTTCACTTTGAAAATTGTTATTGTACTTACTTGGATCTACCTTCTGGCATATTTGACTCTAATAATGTCCACTCATCTGCAATAGGGTCATATCTTTCAATACTTTTTTCGATGACCGATCCCGTCCAACCACCGAAGGCATAGAGATAACCTCCATGAGCGCATAATCCAAAATCAGACCGTGGGATCACCATAGAAGATATTCCAGTCCAATAATCTTCCTGTGGATCATAAACTTCGCCATCTGCCCAAATCTGACTGTCCTCTCCACTCCCTCCAACAACGAAAATTTTCCCATGTAAGACTGCTACTCCTGGCCCACATCTCTCAATTTTCATAGGGCCAACTTTCTGCCATTTCTGCCTAAAGGTATCAAAACATTCGACACTTTTTAAGACACTTTTTAAACTATACTCCTCTGATAGTTTCCATCCACCTATAACATAAATTTTCTTTCGAAGACAAATTCTTGGCTGGATATACGAGGCTTCCCTTTCGTCCCTTAAAAATGTCGTCCTCTGCTGTTTAAGAATAACCTTCAGATTGATATTAGAGCACTCATTAATTGATTTTTTTATTAGTTTACTTGGAATTAAAGCCAATTTCACTGGTTTCAAAATGTCATAAATCCAACAATGTCTATTAGTTATATCTTGTGTAATCCATCTGATGGCAGCAGAGAATACCTGTAATACAATAAAGAAAGAAAAGGTAGATAAATTTGATTGTTTGGGGGTCTACTATTAAATAAAAAAATAGCGTATATAAATATTTACCTGCACCTCAGAGTCAATATGAAGATACTCTGACTCCAAAAAATACAGTAGAATTTCTTTAGGAATTTCAAGAAACTCTTGTTCCATTGTAATTTCTACGAAATTAGAAAAGATGAAGTCCTGCGAAGCAGACAGCAGGTTTACTAAATAATGGACCTCAGCAAACCTGTTTAAAAAACAAAAACAATGGATTTATTCCTAATAGATTTATTTATTGTACGTACATATAGGTAACATAATCAACTGAACTGAATCATAAAACCGTACCTGTAAATTCCTAAAGCATTGGATGGATGAAGTTCACTCTTAAGAAAGTCTGTACAAACACGTACAGCATGGTGAATTTCAAGTATGTTTGCAGCTACAATTAACTCTTGAACATTTTCCACTGTTACCTCGATGTTTTCTAAAGATTTAAAAAAAACAATCTATCAACAAAATAAAAAATATCGTTTTTAGTTTTACATTAGTACTCACTTTCTATTAACTTTTAAAAAGTTTTTCTTTATCCTTACCAGTATATATAAATCCGATGAGCTGTTTTAATATATTAAATTTCATAGACTTCATTTCTATTGAAGAAGACTGTGTTGTTTCCTCACTTAATCCACAGGTAAACATTGTCTTAAAATAATTACTTCCCGCCGAAAGTATTACACGGTGAGCCTGAAATAATAAAAATAGTTGTGTTAAGTACAAACAGGAAAGACGACGACAGTTTTTACAGTTATTTCAGTTAAAAAATAATGTTTTCTCACCTTCACAATTGATCCATCAGCTGATGATATTTCTACATCACAAAACTTTTGTAACTGCCAGAGTGAATGTAAGTTTTCTAGCAGGTTAGATTTACATTCCCCCTCCCCATTATCAGAGAATTCCACACGTGCTGCCGCCATCCTCATATATTACTAATAAACAAATGTAATACTATTCATCCAGAGTTGAGTTGTCTGGTGGTGGGTAGTGATATCTGGTAATTTTTAACTGAGATGTAGTATATATATTGAGAAAACGTTATAATTGGGGTACCGAGTAATCACAGGTATATTAGGTCTTTTATATGAAATGGCGGCACGTGTGGAGCTCTCTTATCCGAACGACTTCCTAGAGGTGGAGCTCTCTTATCCGAATGACTTGCTAGAGAACTTACATTCACTCTGGCAGAAACAACAGTTCTGTGATGTAGAAATATCATCAGCTGATGGATCAATTGTGAAGGTAAGAAAATTTGCTAGTATATTAAGTTGTTTTAACTAGCTTTGTCTGAAATGAATAAAAAAGTGAAGAAGATTTTTATATACTGTATACAACAAACATTTTATTCCAGGCTCATCGTGTAATACTCTCGGCGGGAAGTGAATATTTTAAGGATATGTTTACTGGTGGATTAGCTGAGGAAACAACACAGTCTTTTTCAATAGAAATGAAGTTTATGAAATCCAATATATTAATTCGGATCATTCGATTCATGTATACTGGTAAGATAAAAGGAAAAACACATGTTTGTCATATATGTAAAAAACACATGTTTTTCATATTGCTATATGTAAAACGGTATTTTTATTTTATTAATTATTATGAAAAATTTATTTTAATATTTTAAATCTTTAGGAAACATTGAGATAACAACGGAAAATGCTCAAGAGTTAATAGTTGCTGCAAACATTCTGAAAGTTCACCATGCTGTATGTGTTTGCGCGGCCTTTCTCACAAGTGAACTTCAGTCATCCAATGTTTTAAGATTATACAGGTATGTAAGTAAATTATTAAGTAAATTATTAAAAAATATTCTAATTTTGTAAACTTTACCATTTTTGACGTACAGTATTCAATATAAATTCCATATTTTTCTAAACACAGGTTAGCTGTAGCTCATAATTTAGTACCACTGCTGGATTCTTCACGGGACTTCATAATCACAAATTTCTCAAATGTAATATTGGAGAAAGAGTTTCTTGATACTCCTAGAAACATTATACAAGAGCTTCTTCTAGAGAAAAAACGTCAAAGTCTTGAAGAAAACTACAAGAAAGAACAGTTCCACCATTGTCCTACCTGTAAATTACAAGTGTAGACAGGATTAGAGAGGAGTGAAAAGAGTGCGAT